ATCAGGGCGGTGAGATTTTAGCACAAAGCCACGAGTTGTGTAGAACGAGCCTGTTAAATGCAAACGAGAGCCATCAATTCACAAGGGCCGCGTGATTAACGAGTCTGCCGGGGTGCCGTGTTTGCGCATCTGCACGCAGAGAGTGTAAAAACAAGCACTGCGGTTGGAGGCATCTGTTGTCATCACCGCTGACTGTTTGGCCGGTAGCTGCACGGCGGCCTCATTTAGTCAGCTGCCGAAGCGAGAGCGGTGCCGCTTGGGCACTGTAACCCACTAGTATTCACAGTCATTTAGCAACATTTCCTTTGCTGATTTTTGAGTGGAATAAGAGCGTTGGAGCTCAGCTGTAGGGAACGGAGACCCTCAGGTGTGGGTGTTGGGTCCTTTGATGGTTTCCGTATTGTGGCGTTGGTAAAAATCTGTATTTTTGTCATGACACCCCTTGGAATTGTGCTCATTGTATGTTTTTTTTTTTTTGTCGTTGCAGTGGTGGAGCGTGGAGACGGGAGAGTCCCTGCAGACGTTTTACACGATGGGAGCCAATCTGAAGAAGGTTCACGTGTCGCCTGATTTCAGCACCTTTTTGACTGTGGACGGCATTGGAATCCTTTACAATTTAAAAAAGGTGGAGGGAGGAGGATTGTAGAATTTTTTTTTTTTATAATCTCTAAAGTATTTGTCAAAACTGTGGGATTGGTAATGTTTTTAAAGCAGGAGAACTTTTGTTCCTTAATGAATTGAAGATTTTTGTATTGAAAACGATGCTTTTGTGATGTTTCATAATCTGTTCTTTACTACGACAATCTGTGTTTGAGTGCAACTACTGTGAACCAGAGAAAGATGTGAAAGCTTCATGGCCCATTGTGGGATTTGATCTGAGCCCATGTGTTTGACCCGATGCCTTAATGCGTGAAAATAATTTTTTGTAGCTGTGTTTGTATGCATTTTTATTTTGGGAAGCTCAGGTTTTATGTGTGGCAGTGGCGTTTCACGTAAGGGCTTTAATTAATCGAAGTGATTGAGGTAAACTATGTCCCAACCATGGATTTTGTATTTATTGAATCTGGAGAGGCTCACTTGTAAGATGTAGCACAGTATGTGTGTAGGTTTCTCGAGAAATGTAATGCGGAATGACTTTTTTTTTCAGCATTGTGTTAAAAGTGTAATAAAAATGCAAGTACACCCTGGGATTAGCAAAGGGTGAATGTGTAAATGATTTTGGCATGTCTTAATGTGAGTATAAAGTGAATGAACACCAAGGCAAAGTTGTCTGTCTGTTATTGATGAATGTGAATGTATTTAGTGTAAATGGTTCAGTAGATGTAACTGGAAATGTTTGTGGCTTATTGAATGCGAGAGGGAAGAGGACTCTGATGCACAGGCAGTGCTGACACGGCAGTGGTCACGCTCCGTCTGTTTGTGACACTTCCTGTTGGCAGCTGCTCGGTAAGTAGACAGGCAGCACACTGTCATGTCAGAATATCAATGTCAAGCTGAGCAGTGCATATGTATGGTTGGAGCTGAAGCTGTTTGTTTGGAGACTGTAAAGATATGTTTGTCCAGGATTGCATGTAGGTTGAATTTGTTTGTGTTGCAGCAGGACTTGCTTGAGCGTCGAGAGGAAGTGAAGCCAGGTGAGTTTGAAGCGGTTTGAGTTTGAACACAAACATGGCCCTCTATCAGAATCCAGAGTTTTGAGAAGATTGGGGATACTTAATTTTTCGCCCAAAAAAAAAAAACCGAAAGGGGTACCACTGTCGTTTTTTTTTTCTCGGGTCGAAATTTTGAGTTTCGATATCTCGGCTCTGGAAGGGTCTAGAGCCTCCATTGTTGCACTCAGGTCTAAGTCTCATGGTCCTCTATCAAAATCCAGAGTTTTGAGAAGATTGGGGATACTTAATTTTTCGCCCCCCCCCCCCAAAAAAAAAAAACGAATGGGGTACCACTGTCGTTTTTTTTTTTCTCGGGTCGAAATTTTGAGTTTGGATATCTCAGCTCTAGAAGGGTCTAGAGCCTCCATTGTTGCACTCAGGTCTAAGTCTCATGGCCCTCTATCAGAATCAGAGTTTTGAGAAGATTGGGGGATACTTAATTTTTCGCCCAAAAAAAAACGAAAGGGGTACCACTGTCGTTTTTTTTTCTTGGGTCGAAATTTTGAGTTTCGATATCTCAGCTCTGGAAGGGTCTAGAGCCTCCATTTTTGCACTCAGGTCTAAGTCTCATTGCCCTCTATCAGAATCCAGAGTTTTGAGAAGATTGGGGATACTTAATTTTTCGCCCAGAAAAAAAAAACGAATGGGGTACCACTGTGTTTTTTTTTTTCTCGGGTCGAAATTTTGAGTTTGGATATCTCAGCTCTAGAAGGGTCTAGAGCCTCCATTGTTGCACTCAGGTCTAAGTCTCATGGCCCTCTATCAGAATCCAGAGTTTTGAGAAGATTGGGGATACTTAATTTTTCGCCCAGAAAAAAAAAAACGAAAGGGGCAACACTGTCGTTTTTTTTTCTCGGGTCGAAATTTTGAGTTTCGATATCTCAGCTCTGGAAGGGTCTGGAGCCTTCATTGTTGCACTCAGGTCTAAGTCTCATGACCCTCTATCAGAATCCAGAGTTTTGAGAAAATTGGGGAAACTTAATTTTTCGCCCAAAAAAAAAAAACGTAAGGGGTAACACTGTCGTTTTTTTTTCTGGTCAAATTTGAGTTTCGATATCTCAGCTCTGGAAGGGTCTAGAGCCTCCATTGTTACACTCAGGTCTAAGTCTCATGACCCTCTATCAGAATCCAGAGTTTTGAGAAGATTGGGGAAACTTAATTTTTCGCCCCAAAAAAAAAAACGTAAGGGGTAACACTGTCGTTTTTTTTTCTGGTCGAAATTTTGATTTTCGATATCTCCGCTCTGGAAGGGTCTAGAGCCTCCATTGTTGCACTCAGGTCTAAGTCTCATGACCCCCTATCAGAATCCAGAGTTTTGAGAAGATTGGGGAAACTTAATTTTTCGCCCCCAAAAAAAAACGTGAGGGGTAACACTGTCGTTTTTTTTTTCTGGTCGAAATTTTGATTTTCGATATCTCCGCTCTGGAAGGGTCTAGAGCCTCCATTGTTGCACTCAGGTCTAAGTCTCATGACCCTCTATCAGAATCCAGAGTTTTGAGAAGATTGGGAAACTTAATTTTTCGCCCCCCAAAAAAAAACGTAAGGGGTAACACTGTCGTTTTTTCTTTCTGGTCGAAATTTTGATTTTCGATATCTCCGCTCTGGAAGGGTCTAGAGCCTCCATTGTTGCACTCAGGTCTAAGTCTCATGACCCTCTATCAGAATCCAGAGTTTTGAGAAGATTGGGGAAACTTAATTTTTCGCCCAAAAAAAAAAAAACGTAAGGGGTAACACTGTCGTTTTTTTTTTCTGGTGGAAATTTTGATTTTCGATATCTCCGCTCTGGAAGGGTCTAGAGCCTCCATTGTTGCACTCAGGTCTAAGTCTCTAGGCCCTCTATCAGTTCCAGAGTTTTGAGAAGATTGGGGAAACTTAATTTTTCGCCCCAAAATAAAAACGTAAGGGGTAACACTGTCGTTTTTTTTTTCTGGTGGAAATTTTGAGTTTCGATATCTCCGCTCTCGAAGGGTCTAGAGCCTCCATTGTTGCACTGCACTCAGGTCTAAGTCTCATGACCCTTTATCAGAATCCAGAGTTTTGAGAAGATTGGGGAAACTTAATTTTTCGCCCCCCCAAAAAAAACGTAAGGGGTAACACTGTCGTTTTTTTTTCTGGTCGAAATTTTGATTTTCGATATCTCCGCTCTGGAAGGGTCTAGAGCCTCCATTGTTGCACTCAGGTCTAAGTCTCATGACCCTCTATCAGAATCCAGAGTTTTGAGAAGATTGGGGAAACTTAATTTTTCGCCCCCCCAAAAAAAACGTAAGGGGTAACACTGTCGTTTTTTTTTTTCTGGTCGAAATTTTGATTTTCGATATCTCCGCTCTGGAAGGGTCTAGAGCCTCCATTGTTGCACTCAGGTCTAAGTCTCATGACCCTCTATCAGAATCCAGAGTTTTGAGAAGATTGGGGAAACTTAATTTTTCGCCCAAAAAAAAAAAACGTAAGGGGTAACACTGTCGTTTTTTTTCTGGTCGAAATTTAGATTTTCGATATCTCAGCTCTGGAAGGGTCTAGAGCCTCCATTGTTGCACTCAGGTCTAAGTCTC